CTTATTAATTATCATCAGAGCTAATTATTAATCCATCATTAATATACGGTTTACAGTGAAACCAGGAATATTTGGATCCACTTCAAACTAGAGCCACTGTGGGACACTTTAGAGTTCAGGGCTTCACTGTTTAACTTTAATATTAGACTAAGATTGAATTCAAGGCTTTTCCTTCAGGATCCAACAGAACCTCAAACCAGAACCAGAACCCAGCTGTGTTTCCTTAAAGAGTGACAGGTCAAAGGATGCCGCCATTGATTTTAAATCAGACCGACCTTCAGCTGCAAAGAGGTGAGCTCTGTCTAAATGTTTTAAATGTTTAAAACTGAACTGACACAGTTTGAAACGTTTTGATTACCAATTTTTAGTCCTTTTAATGAAACTGTGTGTTTTTTCAATTATTCAGTCTAGTGAGTTCAGAGTAAACATTGTTGGAGGTGGTTCTAAAGGTCTGTAGCTGTAGTTGTAGGCTGATTTTAGGTTAAACATTTTACAAAAACAATCACTGACAGAATAAGTTTTACTCAGTTCAGACTCTAGACGATTGTTTTGTTTCTGAATTTGTGCTTCTGATGTTTTCCTCCCTCAGTTTTAATTCATATATTCAACCAGATTACTTTTAAATCAAATAAGTAAAGGAGGCAAACCAAGATAAATGATCAGTTTAATCCTTTTATCTGATCATATTTAAATCTCGGAGTCAAGAGAGATACTGTAAATAAATAGGAAAACTTAAATGTTTAAGACAAGCTTGTGTTGGTGGTAAAGAGCAAAACAAACCAACTCACTTGAAATAACTCATTTTTACTTTCTTATGACCCGTTTTTATTTACTTTATTCCATAAAATCAATATAGAAATGAAAGATGTTTTTCATTTAAAGCAAAGAAATGCCTTGTTAAAGTCACCTGACATTCTGATCACTGCTGCACTTTATAAATGGTAATGTTCTCTAAACTGATTCATCTAAGGATGTAAAAATATCCAACCATCCTTTGGACTTTGGATTAACTTGCCCATTTTTTTTTCTAACATAGGCTGCCGCTATAGTATTTTATCGATTCTATGGAATCTTAAACTTATCATTCTGAATTAATTTCCATTAATTTCATTTATTTTTTAAATCAGTCTGAGCATCAGAAATCCAAACTCTGATCAGGTAGGAGCTTCCTCTCTGGTGACCGGTGTCCCCATTTATAGCTTTTGGATCAGGACACCAGAAAGACCTTGGCCTTTTTCTGTTTGTTCTACAGAATGTGAGTTAATGCTTCCTGGTTCCTCCACAGAGTGGAACCAGCAGAACTCAGNATCAGCTGCAGAAAGGAAACCTGATCTTCTATGAATCCGATCTGACAGAGTGTGGCATCGATATCAGAGCAGCCTCAGTTTACTCTGGAGTGTTCACACAGATCTTTAAAGAGGAGAGAGGACTGTACCAGAACCAGGACAAGGTTTTCTGCTTCGTCCATCTGAGTGTTCAGGAGTTTCTGGCTGCTCTTCATGCCCATCAGACCTACTTCACTTATGGAATCAACCTGATGGGAGAAGAACAGAAAAAGACTTCCTTTTTACCTAAATTATCTACGACAGTAAAACTAAGAAATCTTCATCAGAGTGCTGTGGACAAGGCCTTACAGAGTCCAAATGGACACCTGGACTTGTTTCTCCGCTTCCTCCTGGGTCTTTCACTGCAGACCAATCAGAGACTCCTACAAGGTTTGATGACAAAGACTAGAAGTAGCCCAATGACCAATCAGAAAACAGTTCAGTACATCAAAAAGAAGCTCAATAAGAATTTGTCTGCAGAGAAAAGCATCAACCTGTTCCACTGTCTGAATGAACTGAATGATCGTTCTCTGGTCCAGCAGATCCAACAGTCTCTGAGATCAGGACGTCTCTCCACAGATAAACTGTCTCCTGCTCATTGGTCAGCTCTGGCCTTCATCTTAGTGACATCAGGAGAAGATCTGGATGTGTTTGACCTGCAGAAATACTCTGCTTCAGAGGAGGCTCTTCTCAGGCTGCTGCCAGTGGTCAAAGCTTCAAACAAAGCTCTGTGAGTACTGACAGAATTTGGGTTTTCCTGGTAAAACCAGGAGAGAGTGACTATTATCCTGGTAAAACTAATGTTTAACTATCAGTTTTATAAATATATCTTGTATTGAAATAAACACTAGTCAAGTTGATTTACGGTATAAGATTTAGCTAAGAGACCTGAAAAAGATTTTTTGTATCTCAGTACAGAATGATTTATCTTTATCAAATTGCAAATATTTACTTAATTATTTGTTTTTTTATTTTTGTAAATCATGAATAATGTTCATCCTGGCTAGACCTAGAAACAGAAATTAAGTCACAGAAATAAGCTTTCAATTAAAGAAATTTCATGTCATTTTAATATTATATCTCAGCATACACACACACACATCTAACCCAGGTTCCACAAGTCCCTCTTAAAGATCTTTTTGGTTTCTCCATTATTTGATATAACAATAAACTTGCTCTATAGTTGCACCATATCTTCAGTCTATCTGACTTGGTAGCCATCCCATATATCCATACAGGCGGAGATATGTTGACATCCCCCAGAAATCATGGTAAATACAGCTAAAGTAATCCAAGTTGGTCCACATGTCATTCTGATTGGAGGGGCTACAGGCTGCTGCCCTGGCAGCTCTGACTTTCAGAGAGCATCAGACACACTGGATAAAAAGCTGCACCAAGGTGTAAAAGTCAGTAAATCATTGTTCAGATCAATTGTTCAAGCAGCGCATGTTGGAACATAAAAAGTATGAATTTTTTCCTAACTTCCATCATGTTCTTGCTGATGAACTTAGAAGGATCAAAGACTTGGACGTAGAGTTAGAGTCGTACATTCAGCAGCAGGTAGAGCAGATAGTCAGGTTGCTTTATTGTGCTGTTAAATATCTAACCCAGAAAGCCCATTAGCTTGCAGGTTAAATACAGAGGAGACATTTTTTTGGGACTAAAAAAATGTGTTATTTGAGAAACAGGGAGTAAATTTACCGTATTTCAGAGTAAAACAAGAATGCTTTGCTTTAAAAAACCTGACTCACCCAGTTTTACTTAATATTACAAACTGCATAAAACAAACAAACAAATAATATAATAATAAAAGGGCTTTAAAAGTGACTACAGAGACATATTGTTAATGAGCTGGACTTTCTCTCCTCCTTAGGGATGAAGTGAGAGAATATTCTGGGAGATTTAACAACAGCAATATACACCAAATACGCACCCGACTAATAGTAAATAAAGAGAATATTTCTGTGCTAATATAGAGCTGAGCTTCTAGATCAAATCTAATACGTATCATGAATCCAGGGACTTTCAGTTCATACTTTTTCATGACTTTAACAATCTCATCGTCATATTACAATGACATTAGTTGGTCACTTATCCAGCAAATTGTGTTTTATAGATGATCTACATACATGGCTTTTAAACAGTTCAAATACAAGTATTTTATATCTTTTTTTTGTTTTGCTGATTTAGAAACAGTTGAAATAACTGATGATTTATTCTTATTTTTTCTCTTTTGATAGATATTATTTTCAGTTTAATACCGCCTTAATGCTGGACTAAGTTTTCACGATTTAAAATTCATTCTTTCTCAGACTAATATTTTTCCATTTAAACCCTGTTTGTAAAGACAACATTTTTGGTTTATTTTGGTCATTTTATCTAATTTGACCTAAACTACATTAAGTCACTTTACCAAGTCTTTTAAAGAAAAAAAAACTTCCAAGGTGTCCATGAAGATCACTGTGGACAGAGGAGAGATATGATCAGATGAGAATAATGATGGACTGACTGCAACAGAGGTCCTCAGCGAAGCGAACTCAAAGGAAAGCTCAATACATAAAGTAGAATTAGATAATTTTGTTTATTCTACATTTTTTTCAGTAAAATGTTAAAATGGGATATAAAGTTTGACTAAGTCTAAGTCAGAATATTCTCACATTTAGTCTTTTAGGAGGAGACAAAGTCCTGCTCATCAATAAGATGCTTTCTGTAGTTACTATAAAAAACTTGATTATTAAATTTGCTTGTTTGTTTTATCCAGTTTACTATAGAAGAAAAACTGTCATGCCTTTTGTCAAAAGACAGCANGGTGGGGTCTACTTGGCTGTTTTGGTTATCTGTTATGGAATCTTTTATTTCTTCTTTAATCTCCTTTACGACAGTTTTGTTGTTTAAGATGCCAATGTTTAGTCTCCATAAAGTATTTTTTGGTGTGTTGTCTAGATTAATGGATAGATAAATAATGTTGTGGTCTGATAGGTCTGCTGCTCCTATGGAGCATTCCTTCACCTTGTATCTGTCTGCTTTATTCATTAGGAAGAAGTCTATTCTAGAGTGGACTTGGTGTGTAGCTGAGTAATGTGTGTAGTCCTTCTCTGATCTATGATGTCTCCAGACATCATAGGTTCCGGTCTCTTTTATTAAGATATTTAAATATTTTGATTTAGTGGATTGACGCCTGGTGCTTGTAGTATCTAGAGAGTTATTTAATACTGTATTCCAGTCCCCTGCACAGATTAACGTTCCTTCACTTTCAGAGACTATTTTATTGAAAATATTTTGGAAAAATCCTCTTTCACTTTCTGGTGGCACATATATGTTTATCATGGTAATCAATTTATTTTCTAATCGGCCTTTAACTAGGATGTATCTACCTTCTTTGTCTCTTTCTTCATGTGTCAATTGAAAGTCAACTGAGTTTCAGATTAATATAGCCACTCCCCTTTTACGGCTGTGTTTACATGAGCTAAAGAATGCATTCAAAAAAACAAACTTTTTTAATTTGTTATGTTCTTGTTGTGTCATGTGTGTCTCCTGTAAGAGTATCACCTGTGTTTTATCTTTTTTTATTTTGGTCATTACCCTGCTCCTCTTGGCTAGATTGTGCATGCCATTTACATTTAAGGAAGCAAATCTCAACTATGTGACCCCATGACTCCTGAACTGAGTTGTATAGGCGATGTGGGCCCCATTCAAACCCTTCAAAAATGAACTTAAGAACAATACGAACAAAAATATGAACAATAATGGAACTAACCTCCAAGGAATGAGGGTTTTTTTAATACCTCCTCACTAATGACCCCACTGGTAAGTCGGGGGGGAAAAACCTCAGAACTAGAGAGGGTCCACCCATAAGAGTGGCTACGTTGTTAGAATTAAACAACTCTGCCATCTTTTATAGTCCAGCGGTAAATATTCAATATCTAAAACCAATTCTCCCAAACCGTTTTACTGAATTACACCAAGGCCTTCTTTAAAGAGCCATTTCAAGTTAACTAACCAAAAAAAACCCGGACACCCCACATTAGATGTTCTTGCTGTACCCCCTGTGTTACTCTTGTAATTTTTCCTTTGCTCTCTGTGTGGTGGATGTCGCCGATCCGTGGCTGCCAACTTGCTGCCATCGCTGCAGTTCCCAAAAGCGTGATCCCAGGTCGCTGTCCTCCGCTGCGGGCTCCGGTTCCTGCACGTCAAATCCTCGAGTTTTCATATCCCGCAGCGCCTCCTGTGCGCTGTTGTAGGTCCGTGCTCCGTTGCTCCAATGAACTCTCATCTTAGTGAGCGGTGTCTGAAAGCGGATATTTTTTTCTTTCAGTGCTTTCTTTACCCCAGCGTACTCTTTTCTCTTTTTTACTATCTCTGCCGGGTAGTCGTGATCAAAGTAGAGGGGCCTGTTACTCATCTGAATCTTTCCTTTTTTCCATGCTTCCCTCAGCACCGTCTCTTTGGTGGTGAATTCTTGAAAGTTTACTATGATGCCTCTTGGCGCTGCATCAGATCTGGGTTTGGGAGCCAGCGATCTATGGGCTCGCTTTATTTTCAGGTCCAGATCCGGGGGTAAAGGCAGCTCTCTCCGGAGGAGTTTTTCAATGAATTGAGGA